GAAAGAGCAGTCCCTTTGGTCTCCTTTATTAACAGGTTTCCCTGTAAATGCAAACAAACCCTCCTGTCTCGGCACTGCGCTCCAGCTCTGCTTTGAGGCACCCAGGAGGGAAGCGAGAGCTCGTGGGCATTTTAGTAAATCAAGAGCAGCGAACGCACAGGGGGTGATTTAATGCTGCCTGTGGCCAGGCGGGAGAGCCAGGGGAGTGGGGGGGTGGAGAGGAGAGGCCTCTGCAAAGCCAAAACCACAGATCAGATGGTTTCTGATCCTGCTGCTCACATTAAGACCTCTCTCACCACCGCCCTGTGAGGGAAGGGGGAAGCTGAGCTGGCTGCAGGGGAGATCTGCCCGCACCCCTGGCTGTGCCCGACCCACCTCGGGGTGCATTTCCCCACTCTCCCTTCCCTACTCACCCACCATCTCCCTGGGCAGAGGATGCTCTGCACGAAGCAGAGCCCAGCCCAGGCTGCTTCACTGCGGGGAGGCTGTACACCCCTCCTGGGGCTGACCCTGCCCATGAGCAGTGCCCGCAGCACCGACAGGCTCTGCACGGCCATGTGCGGTGGATGCCAGATCCACCCCGGCGAAACCAAGTGGGAGCTGGCTCTGCCAGAGGGTGAGGAACTCTCCATGCTTGCTGAACAAAGCATGAAGCCTCCAAAAGGGGAGCAGCCACACAAAGCCTGCTGTGAACCGCCAGCCCCAGTAAACCCAGGCTGAGCAGCAGCGAGGGGCAGGGGACCCCGACGTCTTCACAAGGTACCTCCAGCCCCCTGGTTTTGCTCCTTTCCCGGAGCCGGGAAGGCAGCCAGCTTTGGCAAGCCAGAGGCTGCACCCAGCTGTCTTCCTGTTGTTGTTTCCCCTGCTTCTCCTTTTCCTAAATATCACTGAAATGCCAGCGATTGTCCCCAGGCTCGGCTGTGCCTGCTGCGGGGGTACCAGCCCTGCCCAAAGGCAAGCTGCTGCTGCCATCTCCCGGCTCCCACCGCCTGGAGCCCTCCCGGGGTGAGATGGGGCTCAGGGTGGCAGGTCTGTACCCCTGCCCCAAAGCACCGGCCTTTAAACGGAGTCAGGAAGGGAAAATAGTTTTCCCAGGAATGAGGGACACAGGGCTGCCAGCCTGCACCCTGCTCCTGTGGTCACCCCACCTGAAGCCACCCTGGGACACCGAGGTCGATCAGGATGAAAGATTTGAGCCGTAACGTTCACCATTTGCTTTTCTCCTTGTTCTATCCTCCCCAGCAGCATGGGAGTGGAAGGTGGGATCAAGTGACCTGACATTTGGCCATCTGGAGTATCTTTGTTTATTACTCTTAATTCACATCTCCTCTGTATTTGACACCTGGGCTCCAGCACAGAGCTGAGCTGCCTGAGGAGGAGGCAGCTCACGCACATCAACGATGCTGCAATGGAAGATCTCAGACGCTTAAAGATCATCGAGACAAAAGTCTGCTCAGTAAACAGGATGGAACCCAATGAGCAGGGCAGGGGTTTTGCCTCCTCTCAGACACAGCAGCCTGGTCCCTCACCTCCACGGGACATAAGAACCAAAGGCTGCCTGCACCAGAGCTCACACCGTGACTCAGCAAGGCAGCCACGCCACAGCGGCATGCAGGACAGAGGATGAAGGTCATGCGTCTGGTTAGAGACACAGCACCAGGAAACAACTTCCAGGGCAAAGCATCGGCTTATCTAGGCATACTCAACTAATTCCTACTTCTTCCGAGCAGGGGCACGCGTGTTCAGAGAGAAGAAGTGGATGTCCCACACACCTCCACAACCTGTGATTCAGTTACCCACCAGAGCAGTGTTCAGTCAGGGGGACAGTGCGTTTGATCGAGCAGAGGACACCCACACAAGTTCATTTCTCACCTTCATCCAATGTCCTCCTGGTCTCTGCCTTCACTGCAGAAAGCCACAAGGAGTCTCATTTCCTTCCCCAAAATGAAAGCAGAACTCCAGGCACAGGGAATGGCTGCAACTCCAAGGATAAGGTATGGGATTGGGGGGGGGCGAAAAACCCCAAACCCAAAAACTAAACAGTGCAGAAAGGGAATGGACATTGTCATCATTAAGGGGATTTCAAGGAGACCCTGAAGAATCTGCAAGTCAGCAGATGCTGGGAAATAATCCTCTTCCACCTCAGCTCCACTTACCCACGCTGTCCCCGAGTCCCCACCCATGTAAGCACAGCTTTCTGCTTGTCCATGCAATTCCCCCAGGATTTGGCCTGCTGACACAAGGAAAAGATAGAATAACCTAAGCCACACTACGAACCTCAAGTTCTAAAAATCTCCAACCCTCGGAAATCTGCTCTGTCTGCTGTATTTAAAACAGCAGGGCTGGAAACAGCGTATGTTATTTCCCTCCCGGTTGCAAGGCAAGGCTTTCCCTGCAGCCCTGCGGCTTTGTGTCGTACTTCCCCTGGACCACCTGGGCACACGCGCGGGGGGGGGTGCAGGCAGATGGATCCCCTGTTTTTAGCTAACTTGTGCTGCCTATTTCTGGATCCACAATTGCTGACAGGCCTGCAAGACCCCTACCCAGCTGCCTGCTTTATCGCAGTCTGCCCCGCGCTTCCCGCTTGCTTTGAACACAACGCCCAACCTGCGTTTACTAGGCCTGGCCAGTCACTCCTCTGTGTCCTCCAGTTCCGACATCCTCCCCTGCCCCACTCCAACACGATCTTTAATTCTATAATCTTTAATTCTATTAATACCACCTAATAATTACTTTGTTCCAAGCCTGCTGAGTAATGACTGCTGACGCTTCTGTTTCATTACTATTCCTGTAAAGAAACCGAGCTTTAATACACAGAATTTCTGCAAGGAGGAGTGACAAGAACTATGCTTGCTGTCCTCTCTCTGCCTACATCTTCCACAGAAGGGAAGACCCAAGCACTTTATTCTCAATGCATCTTCAACAGGGTCACAACTGTGTCATCCAGTTCAGAATGATGAAGTAATTAAAATAAAAGTAAAACCAGTTCAGATAGCTCAGAAAATAATTAGAATACAAGTGGGAGGAAGTAAAAAAGGCAGTGACCAAACAGCATCTGCTACCTTTAGGTCTCTTCCTTAAGAGAAGCTTCTACACCAGGTTCTCTTGCTCAAAACGACACTCCCCTCAGCTCCTCCAGAGGTGCTGGGCTTTGGCGTTTCCTTCATCTAATCAAAATAAAGTCTGTTCAACTTAGAATTCAACCTACGTGGATTAAAGCAATTTAAAGCAATAGGGTAAGCAGCCCACAGAGCACGGAGGAATAGCGAATTAATAGCTTCCTTCATTAAAGCTTACCTTCAAAGAAGTCAGCAACAGAACTCATCATCACCATTTTCCTGCAGACATTTATTTTTATATTCACAAGAGGATGAATGTAAAAGAAATTTATGTAGATGCTAAATCAAGGCTTTTGTTCCTAACTAGAAAGAAGTCACTCTCAGCATTTTAATTATTTTCTTAGAGCACGACTGACGTTCCAACTACTGTGCTCTTTTACGAACTCCTTTAAAAATCAAATTACGTAAGAGATTAAGGCAACACAAGGTAACAGAGGTAACATCACCTCCTGAAAAAAAAACAACACAAAAACAAACCCACACTTCTTGGATCACTTCACTCAGTTATCCCTTCTGCAAGCCTCTTCACCCCACCTTGATCTTACGTGATCACGCCTGGTTTCCCAGCTGCTGCACCACACAAGTAACCCAAGCCAAAACCCAAGCAGCAGCAGCAGCACTAAGAGCAACCGGTTCCGCCGCTTCAAGGGGCTATTTCATCACTACTGAAACTGATAGCCTTTCCGAGACCTACCGCTTCTACCTTCAAAAGACAAGCACATCAGGACAATTCCAGATGGTACGCTGAAAAAACGAGGCTGTTTTATTGATGATTAGACTCTGCACTGGCAACAATCATTAAGCTAATACAGACAGACTTCAATCAAAGCATGAGCTTTGAATCAGAAGCCGTAAAGTGACATGATGCCTTAATAAATTAAGGAAGTTGTAATTCCTCTCCATCATCAACTCTTCACTTGAAGTTCTTCGCAAACTCCTCTCCTTTCTTAATAGAAGCCTTCAGCTCAGACATGGCCTCGGCAACCATCTTCTCTTCAAAGGGGGAGATCTTGCCAATACCTAGGTTCTTCTCAATTCCATTTTTCTGAGGGAAAGAGGATTTAAGGATTAACCATTCATCAAATGGCCTAGAGAGTAACTTAACAGCTCTGACTAAGTATGATCCAGTTAAGATGGAGACCCAGCCTGGGACCTCTGTCATCTCTAGTCTGCCAACCCTGGGCTTTCTGGCAAGGCTCAGAGGCCTCTTATTACTTGTAAGAGCTTCTACAGCCTTCACACACTTCTCTCTCACTCTTCACACTGGGGTGTGAAACTTGAAGCTAGGCCCTCAGCTCCTTCAAGAGGAGACCGATACCAACTGCTCCCTCATGCCTCTTCCCATGGTCAAGCCCACCGTTTGGCGAGAGAATCCCTCTCCTCTGGTGTGTGCCTTTTGTGTGCCACTGGCTTGTGGTCTGAAACCTCTTCAGAGTTGCACTCAGGTTTTCGAGATCTCATGCCTACATCCAAATTGCTCCTCCTATTCCCTCACCAGCTACCACCTAAGACAGCACACACCATCCTTTGCATCCCAGCAGCCACCCCAGGGCTGCAGCATCCTTGTTTTTCACTCAATCCACAGGCTAAGTGACAAAAGGAACACTTCTTTCAGAGTTCAGGAGAGGTCCTGGAAAGCAATCTACTAATCCTAATCCATGCTGTAGTTCCCCATGTGCCTCAATTTGAGGGATTTGCTTGTAGCAGATCAAGCTGAGCAGACAGGATTGCTGACTCTGGTTAATCGTATGAAAGCCCTTCAAAAACAGGCACTGACTTGAGGTAAGCGTGACCTCTTAAGGCAAGTCTGAATCTCTGGTTACTCAGCGACCTGCAGTCTAAGAGCAGATAAAAGCAGCAGCATCCCTGTTGAGCATGAGGTATATGCCTAAGAACAATACCCGAATATTCAAGAACTCTTAAAGCTATGCTCAGCTTTTAATATCAGTGATACCTAGCATTAGACTAAATTGAAACCACTGAGTAAAACCACAGGACTAAATCAGTAGCTGCTGTCTAGAAGCCCCATCATTTAAAGTACGTACTCCTAGTAGCAGAGGTGTAGAGAAGTACGGGCTCTCAGTTTCATCCGATCGAACAAAGGCACATTCAATAACCCCTTCCTTTCCATTCATTGCATCCACCAGAGAGAACACAAATCGAGCGCCAGCATAGGCCATAGACAAGGTGGCAGATCCTGTAAAAGTTAAAACACTTAAAACAGATCACATTGAAATTTGATACTTTCTTTAGCATCAAAGGCTTCCACACTGATACACTCACAGAGCTGCAGCGGCGCTGACTTCAAGCTCACAGCCAGTTCCTTTCCATTCATTGCATCCACCAGAGAGAACACAAATCGAGCGCCAGCATAGGCCATAGACAAGGTGGCAGATCCTGTAAAAGTTAAAACACTTAAAACAGATCACATTGAAATTTGATACTTTCTTTAGCATCAAAGGCTTCCACACTGATACACTCACAGAGCTGCAGCGGCGCTGACTTCAAGCTCACAGCCAGTTTGATAAAACAGCAGCTTTTGGCCAGCTACACGTTATTTAGTTGACTGAATTTACAGAAAGAAACAGCTTAATTTGACAGAGAAGATTCTTTTTGAAGCCATACGTGGCATGGAATCAGTTAATGTTTAATCTTACCTACATACTGAGCTGCTTCTACACTGTTCAGGCAGTCGCTGGCATGGCAGAGCAGCTAGAGTTGTAATCAGCAGTTCACAATTTTGCACCACAGTCATAAATAAGATTAAACTGAAGAGGACTGCATCCATTCAGCTAGCTAACAAGAACTACTTGGAAGCTGTAGTCAACAACCAACCTGCTCCTGCTTTAGCTTTGACAACTTCAGTGCCAGCTTCTTGAATTCTCCCTGTCAGCTTTTCCAGCTGATCCTGAGGAAAGTCCACCTTTGGGTTGCACTAGATTGGAAAAAAGAAATTACTATCAAATACCAGGACTCTTCCAGATAAAACCAGATACGCATAATGCCACCCACACAACACTTTCGGTACGATTACAGTTGTTCTAACAGTTCTCAACTGGGAAAATCCATTATCCCAGCTCACAGATCACGTGACAAGCTGACCAACTGCAAGTGTTCACCAAGGCTGCTAGTTATTGCATGGTCTGTAACAGGAACCCAGACACGACTAGCTTGCTCAAGGACAAACTGCAGCTTGACAGGAAAACCAGGGCTTGCCATGGTTACTTGCTAACGCATAGTCCTTTGCACCAGACAGATGTCCTCCAAGCACGTAACAGGCCTTAGGAATTTCAAAAAGCCATCTTGTAAATATTTGGGTCACTGTGGCATTATGGCAGTCAAGAGCCTTATGAAGGATCCAGTCTGCCAGCAGTATTTAGGAAGTTACTGAGCCTTCAGATACAGCTACACAAGTATGTTAAGCACAGCTGCCTCTGTCCCGATTGATGGTCTAACGAAAGCACCCTCTCAGCATTCAGTTCCTCCAAAGCCTTTGCTCTTACTCCCTAAGAGCATCCTTCTGTGAAGGATACTTTATTCCCCACATAGAGCAAAGCTTTCGCCCCCCCCCTTTCTTGCAGATTGCTCCTTGGCCATACCCCAGCCATCTCCTCACCAAGCTGCAGCCTGCTTTAGACCTGCATTTCATTCTGGCTTAGATGCACGAAGGCAGCCTCTCCCTGACTACCAGTCATTACTGAAGCAGGTCTCCCCACACAGCTCGAGCTATGCCTCCTCATTCCAATGCTGCACGTTGAAGTGGTGTTTCTAGTCCACCACGGCAAAATCATTTTCTTGCTGAAACGAGGTATTCATATCATGAAATACCTGTCACAAAAAATAAAAACCAAAACAAACAGTGCCTAGTCACCCGATACCAACATTAGACCTCACTTCTTATCCCAAAACTCCTTTTGAGGAGAAAGAGTGAAGCTATTTAAAACACCTAGAGGAGTTTAGATTTAGCTCGTTGCCTTCCAGGATGATGTACCTCAGCTCAGAATGAAAGCAGCCACAAGAGCAGGGAAGACGGTCTCTGCTGTATCTCAGTGCATTACATGCCACCACAAAGGCGCTTTACATCAACTCTAACGTATTGACGAGCGTGATGCCACACACAGTAGGAACTACAACTCACCTGAGAGATCAGAGGGATGATAGTCTTCCCAGCATGGCCACCAATAACCGGAACACTTACTCGAGCTGGATCTAAGCCCTAAGAGAAACACGAAACTTCCCAGCTTCTGAAGCATACAGACAAGAAAAACATTTAAAACCACCATGCTTCGTTTTCTGCCCAGGGTTTTTGGACACATCTATAACCCAGTGCTACACAGGGTAGAAGTCTCAGAGGCAGCTACAAACCAGGGACAAAGCCAGATCTACACAGCTGAACTCCAGGTTATGCTGATAACTTTAGACAATTACAGGATATTATTAATGCAAGTTCAGATAAAGAGCAGCACAAGTACAAACTCCACCAGAGCTATTACAGCAGTAACCTGTTACACCTCCTGATACTTTGCAGAATATCCTGTAACACACAGCACAGACAGTTTGACTTGCAAATACGTATTACAATTCAACCCTCTCCTCCGGTTGCACCAGCAGGGTTGAAAATGCCAACAGAATTAAAAGGAACACGTAGCTCGCTCACAGGGGACAGCTATGAAAACGAAAGGTCAAAGTCTCTTGAACCACGTTTTGCAAGAAACCCTATCCCTAGGCTCCTGTAGAGAATGGAAACAGGGAATCACTGCCTTCGCCTCTAGCTCCACAGAAATACGAGCTCTTTTAGCTCCGTGCAGTGATTTTAAAGGCTTTTGAGAGATTTGATGACCAAAGCACACCATATCCCTCCCCCAGCATCTGTTACTATGACCTACCTTTAGTTCAGCCACAAAAGTATTCGCTCTGACGATGTCCAGTGTTGTAACACCAAAGATTCTGTTGGGATTATACACACCATGCTTCTTGAAGACTTCTGAAGTTATTGGGATGGTTGAATTCACCTATAGGCAAGAACAGGCAAGCATTCATTAAAACCAGTATAATAATGAAGCCAGTGCGTGAACTGAACAAGCCAGTAAAAAACCCAAACTATACTTCCAACTTGAAGTAAACTGTAGCCAATTACTTTAATTCCTAAACTGAAGAGCAATTTACAGCGAGGCTGGAATAAAAATCTTCCATTTTAAATAACCACCAAGACAACAAATTTGTTCATTCACATTACAAAGGCTCCTCCCTTAGTGAGCTGAGACTTCTATTCCAGCTAATACACCACATCATACAGATGTTGAGATATTAAGCACAGTTTCCTCTGACTAAATATAGCCCAAGAAAAATGGGTTAGTAGAACCAGGCTTTTAGTTCTTTTCTGCAAATACCCTGCAGACCTTAAAGACACTGGTCAAAACGAATAGGAACTCAGATTAGTATTCTCAGTCTGGATTTTTTTTTTTTTCCCCTCTCTGCATTTTCAAAGTCTCTAGAAAACGCTTACCGGGTTAGAAATAATACAGATCATGGCTTCTGGACAGTGCTTTGCACAGGCAGATGTCAAAGTAGCAACAATGCTAGCGTTGGTGTTGAACAGGTCATCACGGGTCATACCTAAAACATAACCAGTACCATATTTTAAGTTACCTATTACTACTTATTAATGGGCAAGCAACTCAATCAAAAAACAATACTCTGCTCTGGATAGAGATACATCAGCTTCTGGTTTCGTGTATTGTGTATCAAAAGAAAACTCTCCAGCTGCAATAATGAATTGGCTCCAAAGGTAACTCCTCTGGCTAATAAAAGATTACTGCTCTTTCACGCAGATCAGCCCTTTTCAGGAGCAGCCAGCCAAGCTGTCAATTGTCAGAACGTATTTCACCTAGGCAGCTTGAAGTACAGTATGACCATACTGACCATCACCAGTACATCAGTGGTGCTCAGAACTGCTCCTAAGATGAATTCTCCTCCCCCTCTGCAGTCACCACCACCACTACAGTCTGAATACCAACTGCTCTGTGCAAAATATTGCTTGTTGCGTAAGCATCACTTCTCATTTCTGTTGCAGCAACTACTTTAACCATGAAAAATAAAGAATTAGGAAGAGCTAGGCATTAGAGTCTAGAATTTTGTTACATTCCCACAGGATACTGAAAAACAGAGTAGAAATAGAGCAGGCCAGAGACATTCTAGGAAGGCTTAACAGCATTCATTCAGAGATGCTCAGAGAAGTTATCATACAATTAATACAAAACAAATGGATCCTTTCTATTCTGCTGAGAAATGAAACAAAGAACCAGTATTTTTACTAGAGTATTGCCCTGGGCAAGAAACACCAAGGGAGATTCAGGATCACTTGCGTGAAAAGTCTTTGCACCTCACCTCTACACACAAACTCCAGAAATCAATTCTCCCTGTTTTACCAGGAACCATCTAAGACAATGAGGTGCCTGATACCACAACAAGCTCTAGGTCAGCGTCATTAACAGACCACTTACATCCCAAGCCAACGCTGAAAGCAGCTAAAGCACGAGATACAGCTCTATTTGAATAACAGCACGGCAGAGACGCACTTCAACGAAGCCCTTGGGCTTTTTATCAAAGAGAAGGTACCTGGTTTTCTAGGGACTCCCGCAGGAATAACTACAACATCGCAGCCCTTCAGACATTCTGGCAACTGCTCAGGTCCCAGGAAGCCTGGAATAGAAGACATTCAGACATTATGTTTCTGCCAGTTATTAAGTATCTGACACTCTGAAATACAGAATTGTGCCCAGAGGCACCCAATTCCTTTTTAATGTAGCCGTCAATTCAGACTTACACTGAAAAGCAAAGCAATACAATTATGGATGGACCCTATTTGATGCTTTATCCTTGTTTCAAAATTTAGAGTGAAAGTGGGAACCTCACATTCATCTATTCTGAAAACCCTCGTTCTGTATTTACTCTCCAAAAACCCTAGCTTGGCACTACAGTCAGTGCCCCCAGCAGATAGGCATATTCAAGTAAAATGTAACCTTTCAGTGATCTTAAAAAAAAATGAAGATCAGCAAATTAAGTTTTTATTGATTTCATCAGAACTTGACAGCTGTCCCTTCAGAAAAGAAGCACGTAGAATTCATGTACATACCCAGAGTGTGTTAAGTCTACTTGTAGTCAAACTCTTCAATTCAACACTCAGGCTTTTTTCCAAGCTGATTTTACTAAATATTTCCTACCAGTTATTAATAATTCCCCCTCAACAGCGCAACTACAGACAATTCTCATCTCCATACATATCAATCTAATCAGCTAAACCTTAATTAGTCATGCACTGCTTGAGAAAAAGCTACTTAAACTGATACTAGGCTTGAGGATCACGTGAAGATTCCCCTTCACAAAACATCTCCAAGTGTCAGACACCCAGAAGGACCTCTTCAGAACACAGATTGTTTCCAGCGCTCGCAGTACCTTTAACATTCGCTCTTGTCTCGATGTGGCTGAGGTCAGCTGCAACGCCTGGAGTGTGAGCGATATCGTAAAGGCTGAGCCTGCTCACCATCGGACTGTTCTTCAGGAGAAGGGAGAGAGGCTGGCCAATGCCTCCCGAGGCCCCCAGAACTGCTACCTTGGCATTGTTCTGAGGAAAAAAAAAAAAGATGACAAACACACTGTAGAGATGTTCTGGTAGTTACTGCAGCAGTGACCTTGGGATTTCACCATATTTTCTTTACTTTTAGTTCTATTTCCCAATTTTTTTATCAAGCACTATGCAAATTTGATTGCCTAAGCCCACAGAAAGCGATCATCATGACAGCCTCCCAGAGATCCTTAAGGTTTATTGGTAGGACGAGTTAGAGGAAAATGTTCTTTTGCGATCTGAAGCTCAAAAGGGAAGCACAGTTAGGCAAAACCAAAAGGATCATCTTCCTTCAGATGGAAATGTCTGCCTTGGGCTAATGCCTGCTACCCTGTGGACCTAGTTGTGACTGAGAGCAAAACCTACTATGCAGTTTTTCTAGCTTTCATTGCCAGTATAAAAAAAAAAAAAACCTTCCCAATTGTCAAATCAATACATTTAATGGGCTACAATAAACGTAATAACCATTGAATATATGTGAAAAAAATGTGTATGCCTGAAAAACTCAAAATAGTACCTGCAAGTGCCTCAAGATTGAGGCCTGAGAGCATAAAGTGACTATAATTTCCAGTTTTGATCAAGTGTGGCTGTGAAGCAAGTAAAATCAACTCTGTTGGCCTGGTGAATCAATTTAACTCTAACGTGCTCTCTCAAAGAAAGCTATTTCTCTCAAGAATGCCTGCACTCCTCTTTGTACTGAAAAACTCAAAATAGTACCTGCAAGTGCCTCAAGATTGAGGCCTGAGAGCATAAAGTGACTATAATTTCCAGTTTTGATCAAGTGTGGCTGTGAAGCAAGTAAAATCAACTCTGTTGGCCTGGTGAATCAATTTAACTCTAACGTGCTCTCTCAAAGAAAGCTATTTCTCTCAAGAATGCCTGCACTCCTCTTTGTAGGGAAACTTTAAAAGTCCAGAACAATCTTAAAATGCAACACTCTGCCAAAGCAATGGAGAACCAGAGGCTACTGCAGAGATGTAACGCGGTAATACAATTACCACTGATAAGGACATTCTCTATCACATTGTCTTACCAGATAAAGCCACAATAGCTCCCCACATGAACAGCTTAATTATTATGCTATAACAGGAAATAATCTACCCAGAAGCTTGATCAGCCAAAGCTCACTCAATTTTCTTGCTACTGCAACAAATGTAATTTAGCATAAAACTCTCCAAGGGAAAGCAAAGTCTAGCATTAGTCACTGCTATGCCCCATGTAAACGACTGAGCTGATACCGTGAGGTCAAAAATCTCATTGCTAATAAATTTAATTCCTATTGAAATAATTACACAAACCTCTTGTAAAGCGTATCTTTATAGCTATGATAATCATTTTGTCATATGCTACCAGGAACTATTTACGTTAGAAGATCGAGGTCGGTCTCTATCTATCTACCACGTATCAGCAGTTCTCTCCCGGTATCAAGAGTCATGGACGTTGGATTTCAGCATATTAAAGATTACTATTAACCCCCCAACCACCAGCTTTAATTCTTAACACATTTTGAAAGCAGGGGCATATTTTCAGGAGGGGAAGAAAGCAGTAAACTCGCGTATCATCCATTACATACCACCAGAAAGAGGAGCTCATAGAATCACGTATCATAGAATCCCAGACTGGTTTGGGTTGGAAGGGACCTCACAGCCCATCTAGTTCCAACCCCCCTGCCATGGGCAGGGACACCCTCCACCAGCCCAGGTTGCCCAAAGCCCCATCCAACCTGGCCTTGAACACTGCCAGGGAGCCAGGGGCAGCCACAGCTTCTCTGGGCAACCTGTGCCAGGGCCTCACCGCCCTCACAGGGAAGGATTTCTGCCTCAGACCTCATCTAAATCTATCCTCTTTTAGTTTAAACCCATTGCCCCTCATTCTATCGCTACAGGCCCTTGTAAACAGTGGTAGATGTTGTAGTAATTCATCTAGAACTAACAGATGTGGCCAGCAAGTTGACACCTGTCGGGAGAAAGGCCTATCCTCCTCGGCTATGAGCCACGGAGCGGTACCCAACAGCAGGGATGTTTTACCGGGCAGGGACACAGCATCAACCCAGCACCCCCTCACAGAGGAGCTGCGCTCCTCATCTCCCTCACAGCACTCCACCGCCCCCCACACACCCCTCCGCTGACTGAGACGGTGACACTCGGCGGCTACAGACGCCCCCGGCCCCTCTCCGCCGCACACAGGGAGGCCGAG